GCTGCTGTAATAAAATACCACAGATGAGTCGCTTATAAACAACAGAAATTTATTTCTCACAGTCTGGAGGCTGGGAATTCCAGATCAAGGCACTGGCAGATTTGGTGTCTGGTGAGGGCCCAATTTCTCATGGATGATGACTTTTGGCTCTGTCCTCACATGGTGGAAGGGGCTGGCTAGCTCGCTGGGGTTTCTTTTATAAGAGCACTAATCCCTCATGATGTAGTCACCTCCTATATTAGTCCGTTCTTGTACTGCTCTAAAGAAATACCAGAGACTGGGAAATTTATAAAGAAAAGAGGTTCAGTTGGCTTATGGTTCCACAGGCTGTACAGGAAGCATGATGCTGGCATCTGCTCGGCTTCTGGGGAGACCTCAGGAAACTTTCAATTATGGCAGGACGTGAAGGAGAAGTCAGCACTTCACTAGGTCAGAGCAGGAGGAAGAGAGAGAGCAGGGAGGTGCCAAGTACTTTAAAACAACCCAATCTCATGAGAATTCTTATCAAGGGAACAGCACCAAAGGGGGAAATTTGTCCCGATAATCCGATCACCTCCCACCGCCAACACTGGGGATTACAATTTGAAATGAGATTTGGGTGGGGACACAAATCATTACCATCACCTTAGGGTTTAGGGTTTCAACATATGAATTTTGGGGGAACATAAGCATTCAGACCATAGCACCTACAGAGAATGTAGGCGCTACAGAAATGTAGCTACAGAGAATTGTCATGAAAAACGAATGGTTCAGAAGATGGATCCAGGCTTCAGGAGGATGACTGGATAACAGAGCTTTTCCCAGGGAGCAGGAACTGACCCTAATCAAGGAACTTTCCCTACCCTCGATAGGAGCCCTTACAATGTCTGCCCAGTGGGACTTAGAATTGCGGTGGACCAGCACCTGCTGTATGTCTCTTACTCTCCTCATTTCTGAATAGGGCTACCTATTGTAGTTATTCTGTTCCTGTTACACCATTAGAAGAGTGGCTGTGGACACCATTGTGGAGTGGGGAAGAACGTTCAACTTCTCATTTGTAGGTCTTTGAATCAATAGGTGCTATATCCTCTCTTGATTTAAAAATGGCTGTGCATCTCCCAAAATCTTGGGCTTACAACTAAAAGTCACGTCAGAGTGAAATTTTCTGGTTTTATTTTTGGAGGAAAGGGTGAATGTATTTTGCAAGCAGAAAGGAAAATGAACTGAATATTCAGTAGTAAAAAGCACAGACTCTAGTAATCATTAGTGCTGTTCACCAATATTCCCAGCTCTCCTGCTTCCAAGCATAAAAAGAATGTACTATCTGGCCCCCTTGATGTTCAACAGACCATGTGATTTGCTTTGACCACTGAAACACAAATGAAAATGACATGTACCACTTCAAGCAGGAAATTATTATTATTATTATTATTATTATTTTTAGATGGAGTCTTGAACTGTTGTCCAGGCTGGAGTGCAGAGGTGCTGTCTTGGCCCATTGTATCATTCGCCTCCCAGGTTCAAGCGATCCTCCTTCCTCAGCCTCCTGAGTAGCTTGAATTATAGGCATGCACCACCATGCCTGGCTAATTTTTGTATTTTTAGTAGAGATGGGGTTTCACCATGTTGGCCAGGCTGGTCTTGAACTCCTGACCTCAAGTGATCCACCTGCCTTGGCCTTCCAAAGTACTGGGATTACAGGCATGAGCCACCCCACCTGGCCTAGGCAGGAAACTTTAGAGGCAGTTCTTGATTTGCTATGTTCTTCTCAACCATCAACATCCCAGAAGGTGGAGGTTCTGGCAGCCCAGGTCTCCAAGTAAGGACAGTGTAGCGTAGAAAGCTCTGCACACCCACGCTGGATATGTATCATATGTGAGAAATAAACTTTTGATGTTTTAAGCTTTTAAGAGGTTGGGGTTGTTTGTTACTGCAGTATAACCTAGCTAATGTGACTAATGTTGGTAACATGTTGAAACTGGTTATTAAATTCTTAAAAGGGTTTTCTCATGGATTGAACGCAGTGTCCCTTGACAGGTAAATTTGCTTCTTTTCTGACCACTTCTGCTTCAGTTTCTCACATTTTTGTTAAAAACTTAGTAAACAAATGATCTAATGTTTTAAAGCACCTCATTCTAGAAATGCCATAGATCCAATTATATGTTGATGTCCCAGGACCTGTTTCGGCTGTCAGGTAACAGACTTTGCTTTACTTCCTGATACTTACATTATGCCAAGATTCAGCAATATATTCAATTTTATTCGTTTGAAATACCTGTTCTAAGATAGCACAGGATATATTTGTACATATGAAACAAGATAATTAAATAAACACACATCTTAATATGTTTACAAGAAGAGAGCTGTTTTGAAGCATTTGGTATGAATTAAATTACTGCCGTTGAGCACTAAATCCACTCCTGGCATTGGGTTATGAAGTTGTCATTTCATGATAAAAGCAAGCATACAAGTTTATCTGTAGAAAAAAGTCTTTTTCAGACTAAGGATGGACAATATGGTGTACAATGTTTACAACTACGATTTTGGCAAAAGATATAAACATATTCTTCAAATTGATGCTTTATTCCTCTCTTCCAAAATTTAAGGACATAGCATTAATCTTAATTCTATGAAAGTTACTCTGTGGGGAGTTATTAATAGAGTTCAGGTTTGTTGCTTTCTGACAATCTAATTTGCTCCATGGATGGGGCTTACAGGACCTAGGAAATGGAGACTAATATATTTGCTTTAAATCCCAAAATGTTTCTGCAAACTTTTGGCAAGTGCTGAACTTCAGTCAGTTTATAACCAGATTATCTGACCAATGCCTGAAGTGTGCATCTTCATTGTCCTCTCTTTAATATTGTTCCTTTGTGTCCCCCACCCCCACCCCAATTCATATATTGAAGCACTAATGCCCAAGGTGATGGTATTGGAGAGTGGGGCCTTTGAGGGGTAATTAGGTAATGAGGTCATGAGAATGGAGCCCCATGATGGGATTAGTGCTTTTATAAAAAGAGGAAGAGATACCAGAACTCTTTTTCTCTCTGCCATGCGAGGACAAACGAGTAGGCAGCTTTCTGCAAGCCAGGAAGAGAGCCCTCCCCAGGAACCAAATCTGCTGGCACCTTGATCCCAGCCTCATGAACTATGAGAAATAAATGTTGTTTGAGTCACCAAGTCTGTGGTGTTTTGTTATAGCCACTCAAGCTGACTGGGACTCTAACCACCAAAATCCTTCTTGTCTTTCCAGGTCCAGTTAAAATGCTAATCCTTCATGGAACATTGGATAGAGGCAGTAATGATAATAATAGATAATATTTTTAACTAGAAGTAAGAGAGTAATTAGATTTCTATGTGCCAGATGCTGGGTAAATGATTTGTGTGATTATCTCATCTAATTCTCATTGTAAGCTTGTGACTTGGAACGATTATTATCTGCATTAGGCATTCTTTGTTTTTGTTTGTTTTGAAACAGAGTCTTGCACTGTTGCTCAGACTGGAGTACAGTGGTACAATCATGGCTCACTGCAAACTTGACTTCCTGGGCTCAAGAGATCCTCAGGCCTACCCTCCTGAGTAGCTGGGGCCACAGGCACACATCACCATGCGCAGCTAATTTTTAAAAGTTTACATCAGGCATTCTTTGGCCCAGAATTCCATAATTATAGAAATGCTTTATTACAGCCTTGGATCAGACACAGCTGGGTTGGATTCCTAGCTCTGAAGCTCACTGGACTAGCTGTATAACCGTAAACAAATTTAACCTTTCAAAACATATATGTGCAAGAATTAAAAGAACTAACAAGTCATGAGCACAGCTGTGGTCCTGGGATATTCCCTCACCAACAGCTCAGGACGCCCTGTGCCTCCCTCTTGTGTTAAATCCCGTGCCATCTCGGCTTTGGCTTATTCTTTTATTTTGGTAGAGCACATCCTCTAGATGCGTTCCAACAAAGTAAACAGGATCCAGAAGGCTATGTTTATGAAACCTTGTATGCCTGAAATCGTATTTATTTGACTGCTTCTTTAAGAGGTGCCTGGTGCCTCCTCTTCCTGAGCTCTTCTGAGGTTCATCAGTGTTAATAGTTTGTTTCTGGGTCCCCCCTCCCCCTGCCATTGCCAGCGTGGATTCTGGTTGTCTTTGGTTTGCCGAGTCAGTTTCTATTTATCCCTGTGCTTCCTACCTTCTAAAATTGTGTAGCTGTCCTCTCCCCATAGTCTTTTTTTCCCCTGTGAGTCTATGCCTCTTTTTAAACCCTTTTATTGTAATAAAATTTTGTTGTGCTTTTAGAAGGAACACAGGCACCCACAAGCATTTAGTCCACTATTTTTAATGAGAAGTGTGGACTGTTGTTATTTTAGCATGAAAATTTAGAAGGATTACCAGAGTTCTCATCCATACAGGTCATAACTCTTTTACGTAAAGGCTGGAATACAAAAGAAGGAGCTGGGATCGGGAGATAACGATTTCCATTTGGCGCAAATTGATGTTGAAGTTCCTTAGGGACATTCAGATAGAGACTTTTTGGATTTTTTGGGTAGAAGAGCTTAAAATTTAAGTGATAATTCTGGGTTAGATAAGGATATATGCAAGTCATCAGTAAGAAGGTGTATTAGGTCATGCTATAAAGAAATACATGAGGGTGGGTAATTTATAGGAAGAGAGGTTTAATTGGCTCGTGGTTCTGCATGGGGATGGTGCTCACCCACCATGAGAAATCCACCGCCATGATGTAATCACTCCCAACAGGCCCCACCTTCAATACTGGTTATTACAATTGAGCATGAGATTTGGGCAGGGACACACAGGCAAACTATATTAGGAGGAAACAGTGAGGAGAGCATGTAGGAAGAGCAAAGGATGGTGGACGCAGGATCACTAAGAGAGTGATTTGTAGAGGAGATTCGACTATTTCCCCGGATTTTGTTTTGTTTTGCTACTCCTCAATTTCTGGGATTAAAAAAAATTAAGAAAAACTCCAAATTCTTCTCTTTTTAGTTTTTAAATAGACCTCCTTTTTTGAATCAATTTTAAATTCACAGCAAGGTTGAGCAGAAAGTACAGAGAGTTCCCATATTCCCCCTGCCCCCACACATGCACAGTTTCCCACGTTGTCAACATTCCCCATCAGAATGGTACATTTATTACAATTGACAACCCCACATTAACACATCATTATCACCCAGAATCCACTGTTTCCATTAGGGTTCACTCTTGGTGCTGGATAATGTGTTGGTTTGGATAATCTATGGGTATGACACTTATCCACCGTTACAGCATCATCCAGAATAGCTTCACTGCCCTAAAAATCCTCCGTGCGCAATCCTCCACTTTTTAGAGATATATGTAATTTATTCTAATCTCCAACATTACCTTCTGAATCTCAGCCTACATGAAACTGGAACAATGAGATGATGGTGAGCAGAAAGCTAAGATAGAGGTGGGGTTGCTCCAAAAACTATAAATTGCCCTCAAAGGTCTAAAAGATTTACAGCACTTCGCTAAAAACTGCCTTCCTCTTTTTGTTTTTTTGTAAGTACAGTTTCCATTATATTTTTCTCCAGAGAATAGTCTGTCTTCAGTCTTTAAGGACTCAGCTCCTTACATGGGCTTTGGTGGGGGTCGTGGAGCAGCACCCGCAGGTCTAAATCGGGGTGGGGGTGTTTGGTCCTTGCGGGCTTCAGAGATTGATTCCTGACTACTTTGCTGTGAATTGCACAACTCACACAGTAATGTAGCTTCACATACAGCTTGGGAAGGACACAGGCATCGAAGACACTTGCTTCAGAAATGTCCCTGACTGCTGTGGCCTCCACTATGTTTTGAATGACGAATTTCTTAATGGCCTTGTCCTTGGACATGCATCGGGCACAGTTCCTGCAGCGAATAGGCTGCATGTGGCTGCGGCCCTTTTTAGCACTATCATTGTTCCCTCTTTTCTTTGTCATTTTAGAAGCACGGACCGGAGAGAGGACTGCCTTCCTCTTTAACACCCACAGACTGCAAACAGACTAGAACCAGCCTCCCCACCATAGAAATGGATCTCTTAGCATGATTATTGTTCCCTCTTTTCTTTGTCATCTTAGAGGCACAGACCGGAGAGAGGACTGTCTTCCTCTTTAACACCCACAGACTGAAAACAGGCTAGAAGCAGCCTCCCCACCTTAGAAATGGATCGTCCCAGCTCACGATCCAATAAATCCTGACAGCTGAATGTAGCAAAACAGTGCCATAGAGTTACTACATATGATGTATGTACTACATTCAAGGATGGTGTGTGTAACCTCTAGAGAGAAAAAAGTTAATTACTTAAAAATGGGAGGCATTGCCTTTGTCAGAATTGGGAATTGTTGCCCATATGGTGCGGCCTCTATTAAAGGAATCAGAAAAATACAACTCACTAATGATGATGAATTTCTTGACAGGGTCTAAATTTTTCTCCAGAACAAGTGTTGAATCTGCATTGGCATGTGGGCATTTTGTGAAAAACTTAGGCGTCTTGTGTCATGAATCAAAATAGAGACAAGTTTAATCTGAAAACAATTAGGGGCAAATGTTACCAGTTAGTCATGAAGATGATGAGAAGCTCATAGGGCCCTGCAGAATGTCTCATTTTGAGTGAAATCACTCAAAACATACTCTATGATTCTGCTGAGACAATGGTTTTTCATCTTGGCTGCTCATTAGAATCATGAGGGACACTTCTAAAAACAATACTTCCCCGGATGTCATGCATAAAGTTCTGATTTAATTGGACTGAGTGGGGCCTGGGCATCTGGCTATCTTAAAACTTCCTTCCAGCGATTCTACAGGTAGCCAAGGCTGAGATTTGCCGTATGAGTTGGCTCGACCTATGCTCCCAATAACTGAATGTGGTGACCTGCTGAATAGAGTTTGGTGGTCTCTTCTGACGTCAGCATCCACTGACGGAAGCGACCAAGTAACAAGGATACAATAACATGATTTTTGCTGAATGAATGTTAAGTAAGTGAACCTTCTCACATTACAGATAAGAAACAAGCTGAAAGAGGAGAGGGACCTCACTCAGGGTCATTTGATTAGATGAGAGGCAGAAATGAGAGTGGTACCAGGTCCTGAAGCAAGTAGTCCAATACAGACCAGACTTAGTTCTTTGTCTTTGTCTTTAAATAGGCTTGTGTACCAAATTCCATGAATTGCCTCATCTGGTATGCTTCCAAGAGCCATAACATATTAGCACTACCCAGAATGCGAGAGCAGGGCCTCCCCATCCAGTGGTTCCCTGAGTTTGTCTTAGGGGCCTGTTTCATGCAGAGCTGGCTGGGGGAGGGAAGGATCACGATGGACCAGGATTTGGGTGCTCTACCCCTGTTTCAATCAGAGCAACTCTAGTTTTTTCTGTTTTATGTTTTGGTCTTCCATGGAAACAATTTTCATTTATTTATTTATTTATTTTTGAGACAAGGCCTCACTCTGTTGCTCAGGCCGGAGTGCAGTGGCACAACCAGGGCTCACTGCAGCCTCCACCTCCTGGGCTCAGTGGATCCTCCCACCTCAGCCTCCTGAGTAGCTGGGTCTACAGTCATATGCCACCACACCTAGTGTATGTTTTGTAGAGAGGTTTTCCCATGTTGCCCAGGCTGGTCTCAAAGTCCTGGGCTCAAGCAGTCCTCCCACCTTGGCCTCCCGAAGAGCTGGGATTACGGGTCTGAGCCACCACACCCAGCCTATTTATTTTTTAGAGATGGGGTCTTGCTCTGTCATCTAGATTGCAGTGAAGTGGTGCAAACACAGCTCACTGCAGCCTCAAACTCCTGGGCCTGAGTGATCCTCCTGACTCACTCACCTAAGTAGCCGGGATTACAAGTGTGAATTACAGTGACCGGGAGCAAAAAAAATAAATTTTTTTGAAGGACCAAGTAAGGAAGGAATATGAAGGAAACTGTTCAATGCTAAGAAACAGAAAAGCAGTATTAAAAGTAATAAAGTGATTTGGTCCTATTAATTATCTAGTGTTACGTCTTTTATAAGAGATAAACAAGACTGAAAAGTTAAAAGATAAATTTGAAGCCTTAGTAGATAATGGTCCATTCAAAAGTAGCCTCTCACTCTGTCCCCACATTTTCATGCATTTTTCCTCCATCTCTATTTTCACAGTTGTAATCACTAGCGATGAGTGCCCAAACTTCCAGAATAAGTAACAATATTGAACATCCTGTATTACTCCTGATTTTATTAAAAATGCCTACAGTATTTGAATGTTAAGGCTCTTTGTTGTTGAGAAGGATCTTTTTGATGATGTTAAGGAAAACAATCTGTTAACAGGAAAGTCTAATGGAATTAATGAAAGAATTTTAAACCTCTGAAAAAAAATCATATGCTTTATCTTATTTCCCCTATAGGTGTGAAATATTGGTAGATTTTCAACTATCAGTCCTTCTTGTATTTCCAGGTAAATATTTCTTGGTTGTCTTGGCTTATTCTTTTAATGCACTCTTTTAAATTTATTTTGAAAGAATTTTGGATGCACAGGAAGCTGCAAAGATAGTATAAAGAGGTCCCAAGTTCTCTTCACCCAGTTTCCCCCAGTGGTCACATCTGATGTAACTACAGCACATCCAAATCAGGAAATTGGCACTGGCACAACTGTGTGTGTGTGTGTGTGTGTGTGTGTAGTTTTTTCTGCCTGTCTCTAGTTATTGGTAATTTTTGTGGTAAAATATAAAATGTATCATTTTAACCATTTTTATTGCACAATTCGGTGGCACTAAATATTTTCAAAATATTGTATAACCATCACCAGTATCCATTTCCAGAACTTTTCATTATTCCAAACAGAAGCTCTGTACACATTAAACCATAAGCTTCCTCTCCCCAGTTTTTCCTGAACTCAGGCCCTGGAAGCCACTATTCTATGTCTCTATGAATTTGTTTATTCTAAGTCTCTTAATGTACTCTTGATTTTAATTTACAGCTTTGCATGAATGTTTCTATTTGTACAATTTTATCATTTTGACTCTTTACCAGATATTTTCAAAGAATATATAGTTTCACAAATTGAACTTGATAGTTTTCCATCCTTTTCTATTTTCTGGAACAATATATATTACACTGGAATTGGCTGTTGTTTGAAATTTTAAAAGAAATACCACGACAATATCATTTGGCCTAAAAACTTTTTAAAGTATTCTCTTAAAGATTTACTGGGGATGACCCATGCTTTAGTTAACTCACCCTTGGCGTTTATGATGAGAGAAGTTGGGCAGGACTGCACATAGAGAGAATCATAGAAACCTTAAAAGCATTAGAAGGTCAGGGCTTGGAGGGACCTCCACAATCTCTCCATCTTATCTCCTTATTTACTGACAAGGACTCTGTCCCCCAGAGAGGACAAGGAACTTTTTCCAACCTTGAGCCAAGACAAACATCCAGCTCCTGACTCTTCTCCAATAAAAGGATGCACCACTTGAATTCCCATCTTTCTTGGAGGTGAATCAATATAATCAGACTGATGTAAGAGGAAGATAGTGGTAGAGGCTTTTCCAAAATGTTGAGGATTTGCAGTTGTATTTCCTTCTATGAACTCTTCTTTAAAAGCTCAAGATTATCTGAATTTCCCTTCCCTGGGTGGGGAGGAGGTTGGAGGCTGGCCCGGGTTGGAGCTGGTGGAGGGAGTGCCTGTGACCCAGGACTCAGGAGGATGCTGAGAACCTGGTGGGGAGCATCGTCAGTACACGGGCTGCATGCCAAGCAGGACACATGTTCAAGAAAGGCCAAGGCAGCCATGGAAGGCCAGCGAGGTGTAAACAGAAATAAACAAGAATGTAAATTAGTACAACCTTTAGGAAAAACAGTATGGAGCTTTCTCAAGTAACTAAAAATAAAACTACCATTTGACCCAGCAATCTCACTACTGGGTATATGCCCAAAGGGAAAGAAATCATTATATCCAACAGATACCTGCACGCGTATGTTTATCACAGCACTATTCACACTAGCAAAGACATGGAATCAACCTAAATGTCTATCAGGGGAGGACTGGATAAAGAATACGTGGTATATAAACAAAATGGAACAGCATTTATCCAGAAAAAAGAGTGAAATCGTGTCTTTTGCAGCAACATGGATGGAAGTGGAAGCCATTATCCTAAGTGAAATAACTCAGAAACAGAAAATTAAATACCACATGTTCTCACTCATAAGTAGGAGCTAAACAAAGGGTACATATGGACCTATAGAGTGGAATAAGACATTGGAGACTACAACAGGTAGGAAGGTGAGAAGGGAAAAACTACCTACTCGATACGGCACTCACTCTTTGGGTGATGGGGCCACTAAATGCCCAGACCTTACCACTATGCAACACATGCATGTTTGAAACCTGCACCTGTACCCCTAAATATATACAAATTACAAACAAATAAAATGACAAAAAAATAAATAAGTAAGTCAACAGAGGGACAGTGAGCAACTTAGAGAAGTAGGACAGGCTGTCTGTCAGCTGGTGGCTTTTAGGTGCCGTCACATTGTGGTCCCTGAGAGCAATCACCTAAGATAGTCACCCAATCGTTTTTCTTTTCCTTTTCTTTTTTGAGTCTCTTTTCCTTTTTCTTTTTTGGAGTCTCACTCTGTTGCCCAGGCTGGAGTGCAGTGGTACAATCTTGGTTCACTGCAACCTCCGCTTCCTGGGTTCTAGTGGTTCTCCTGACTCAGCCTCCCCAGTAGCTGGGATTACAGGCATGTGCCACCACACCCAGCTAATTTTTGTATTTTCAGTAGAGACAGGGTTTCGCCATGTTGGCCAGGCTGGTCTCAAACCCCTGACCTCAGGTGATCTGCCCACCTTAGCCTCCCAAAGTGCCGGGATTACAGGTGTGAGCCACAGTGCCCAGCCCTTGTTTTTCTAGAATGAAAACTGGGGCAGGATCACACCAAGGGTCCCTCTCTTCATATAACTGCCTTCCCTTTC